AAACTGATGTTTTCGAACATAGTTGTGTCCCTTAATCTGAACTTGGGTGCTTGTTTCATCAAGGTGAAAGACTATGAAAGAGTGGGTCAATTATGTTCCGCGGTTTTGTGTTTTGATACTACTAATCTGAAAGCTTATTTCAGAAGATCGATTGCGGCGTTAGAACTTCATAAGCCTACCTTAGCTTTCATGGATCTTGCACAAGCCATTAAGTTAGATCCTAAAAACAGTGAGTTCCAACAAAAACTAAAGGAAGTGATATCCTTATTAGGTTGGTCTCCGGATTTTGTTGATGAGGCACTTGCAGTAACACGGGAGAATGAGAAGTTTAGAGATTATGTTCATTGTAGGAAGGAAGATAAAGGTAGGAAGTTAGGAAAAAAAGGGAAAAGAAAGGAAGGAGATGGTCGTGGTGATGGTCATGTTCGTAGGTATAGGTGTGAAGGACGACACCAACATGGAAAAGATTGTTCATGGCAATTCTTTGGATTTGGAGGGCAAAGTCAACCCTACCAACCAGGATCTTAGGCCCAACGTTATAGATAACAATTGTGATCTGAAGGGAACTTCAGAAACAAAAAACTCAAATCTGACAGGGTCAAGTTTTCGGTTCTCAAGCCAAAAGAGATATGATTCCTATTTGCATCTCACTCCAACAATGTATGGAGCGATTTTCAAAGGGTGAACACTACAATACTATTGTTCTCTCCAAAAGAATTTCATTACCATCCGAGTAGCCAATCATGTAAGGAAGATGGATAGTGGTGTAACTCAAGAAAGTTCTACACCAATGGAGTTTAGTCACCCCCCTGTGGAAGGGCACGATAGGTGTGAAACAATTCCAAATTTGATTCAAGAAGATTCCGCCATAGATATGGCAGGTCATGAGTCATCATGTGAAGCTACATCGACACTCCTACCAACTTCGCCCGTTTCTTCCCTTCTGCAAACATCCGTTCACCCAACTGCGTCCTCTTCTGAATTTTTGTTGGGTTCTGTCTCGTCTCCTCGCCCCAGGTTTTGAAGGAAAAATGTCACTCTGCAAAGTAGGTCTTCAATTTTTTTTACTAACTCTGTGTTTTGCAGGTTAAGCGGCTCTAAAAGAATTGCATCTTGCCCCATCAAATATACTTGGTTTCCTAATCGTAAGAAGTTGTATGGTCCGACCCCCAATGTCCTATCGTGTAATCTTGCTTTCTTTGCTTAGTTTAGATTGTAATTTTGCTTTTCGTTTATAGAACTCTTTGTCAAAAAAAAAAAAAAAAAAAAAACATATTTTCTCTCCTACATTACAAATAAAATAAATTAAATTAAATTAAATTTAAAATAAAAATAAATGTATTACATACAATTTTATTAATAGGGCCCCAATATGTTAGTTCACCCTTAGGCCTTTGAAATTTTATAAACGACCCTAATTGAATCATAAATGAAATTTCCTAAACGACCCTAACTGAATCATAAATGAAATTTCCTAAACAACCCTTAGTTGAGTCATTATAAACAATTGAAAAAATTAATTCTAATAATCCCACCTTTGGCCGGCTTGTTATTAATAATCTCACATTTTAATTATTTTTTAATAATCCCACTTGTGGGGGGTTTTCTCTTTTAATAGTCTCCGACCTTTTGGTAACCAATATAAAATGTAATGTAATAATAGAAATTTTTTGCCGGAATCTATTTTTATCATTTTTTGTTTATAGAAATTATTCTAAAAAAAGAAAATACCCCTATCTTTCTGCCTTATCCTTCTCCCTTTCCCCTCCTTCCTTCATTTTTCCCGGCTAGGTAGCCCCACCCTTCCCCCCTGCAACCAACCACAGCCACCCACATTTCGTCATCCCCAAAACACTAGACCCAGCTTTACCCACCTCGCCACCCGTGAAACAACTCCCCAACAACATCCCACCCATGAGGTATCCCACCCTCGAAACACCAAACCCCAGCCACACCCACCCTTGAAATAGGCCACTCGGCTCCAACCACCCCGCTAAAGCACCCCACCCCAACTAATAGCCAACCCATATCGCTTCATTTCAATCCTCCTCACCCAGAAACGCATTACCCTAACAATCCTCTAACCCTTATCACCAAAACATCCCACCCTACCCGGGCACACCCCAAAAAAAACCAAAACACCTCAAAATGCCGTTAAAATGAGGGATAGATTAGGGGTGGTTTTGTGGCTAAGGAAGAGGGGGGAAATTTCGGGTATATGGTAGGGGATGTGGCTGGTGGCCGAAGAAGGGGGCGGGTGGCTAGGTGTTAGAATCCAACTCCTTTTGATGTATTAGATTCCCTTTAGATGCTTTCTTAGAGTTTAGTTTATGTTTTCTTAGCTAGAGGTCCCATTATTGTGTTACTGTTAGTTTAGAGTTCACTAGGGATTCTCCTTGTAATCAAATTAAAGCTCTTTAAAGGGTGAATAATTAATGAAATCTTAAGCCTTTTTCCAAGTGTTGCCTTGATTTTATGTTTGTTTGTTGTTAGACCTTTATAGATATAGTGTCTTACTTGCATAATAGCTCCCCTCCAACCCAACTTTATGCATTAAGAACTCGTGGTTCGGACCCGCTTGTGCCCGCTTTGAAGTATCGGCCGTCACAAGCCCCGACCATCGGCACTCCGTCACCCAAATAGAAGTGAGTGCTCCCTATATTTAATTTCCTGCTTGTGTTGTTTTGTTCTCACAAGCCCCTCTTCCGCTCAAGACAAGCGTTCTTGCCGCCAAAAGGCTAGAATGCGCCGCACGTTTTGGGGTCCAAACTCTCGGACCGTGGCAATTGGTATCAGAGCCGAGGCCCAAACCTTGCCGTAAGCAACCCGTGTGGGTACCAAGGAGGGATACACAAAGATGGAATTCATAGAGGAAAGACTCGATTGGCTCAAGACAAAAGCGGACGAATGGTCCTAGCTACAAGTCGTTGTGCACGAGCAAGCTGAGCAAATTGTGAAGCTAGTGGAAGATAGAGATGCTCTCCACGAACAATTGTAATTTGTTCAAGGACAAGCCGATGAAGCACTGGAGCAATGTTCTACCCTAATGCGCGTTGTGGGCAGAGACGCACATGGGGTTGGTGCGACGAAGATCAAGCCGCCTAAACCTCGCGACTACAGTGGCGCTAGAGATGCTAAAGAAGTAGATAACTTCCTCTTCGACATGGAGCAATATTTACGAGTATGCCAATTGACTGACGATTCGAAGGTGGATATTGCCATCATGTACTTGTTCAAAGATGCCAAGCTTTGGTGGCGCACCAAGCACGCAGACATCAAAGCAGGAAGAAGCAAAATTGATACATGGGCGGAGTTCAAAGAGGAACTCAAAGAACATTTCTACCCCGACAACACAGAATTTGTTGCTCAGGTGAAGTTGATAGAGTGCCGCCAGAAGGGTTCTATTCGCGACAATGTGAAAGAATACTCGGCAATAATGTTGGACATCACAGACATGAACGAGAAAGATCGGGTGTTCATATTTGTCAATGGGTTAAAGGAATTGGCGCAGCGAGAAGTTTTAAGGCAGAAGATTGATACCCTTGCTACTGCAATGTGTGCTGCTAAGGAATTAATGGAGTACTCAGTCGGGAAGGGCCGACAATCTGAGAATGATTTACGTGGGACGTCAACATGCTCCAATAGCCCGACTCTAAGCTCTCCAAAGGGCACGGAGGACGACTCTCGGGTACAACACAATTAATACTTATCAGAGAAGAAGTGGAGGAGGTGATGTGAAGAGATCTACATCAACCGCCTCCCATAACTCCGGAAACTCTAAGGCTAGCGCGTCCTAGGAAAATACCAAGCCGCCGAACTGCATTCTTTATCGAGACCCACACAAATGGTGGGAGTGCGAGCATAAAGAAGAGCTTGATAAGATCTTAAAGAGATTTCCATCTATATCCATGCAGGAGATCCTAGAGGAGAAAGAGACCAGCAGAGACAACAATCCATACTACGGGATGCACTCCATGAGAATGACTGCCCCAGAACCTGAATTTTGGTACCTATCAACAATGCGAGTGATGGAGCCAGAGAAAGAGGCAACATCGAAGAAACAAAGTTCGCACTAGAGACACCCGAAGGCGGGAGATGAATCCCAGAGAGTCGGCAACATCCCTGATACACACCCTTTAAACTCAAAATCACACACCCGGTTTGAAGCAAAGAGCGACCACCCAGAGACACCCAGAGACAGAGTCAACAAAGATTCCATTAGTCAGCCGCATCTACGGCGCGGCAGAGACTCAAGATAGTTTATGATTTCCTAGTTTTGTTTGTAACTGTTATAAGTTGACGAGGTCGTCGACGGCTTAAGTGAAAAGATGTTAGAATCCAACTCCTTTTGATGTATTAGATTCCCTTTAGATGCTTTCTTAGAGTTTAGTTTATGTTTTCTTAGCTTGAGGTCTCATTATTGTGTTACTGTAAGTTCAGTGTTCACTAGGAATTCTCTTTGTAATCAAATTAAAGCTCTTTAGAGGGCAAATGATTAATGAAATCTTAAGACTTCTACCAAATGTTGCCTTGCTTTTATGTTTGTTTGTTGTTAGACCTTTATAAATATTGTGTCTTACTTGCATAATAGCTCCCCTCCAACCCAACTTGATGCACTAAGAACTCATGGTTCGGACCCGCTTGTGCCTGCTTTAAAGTATCGGCCGTCACAAGCCCCGACCACCTGCACTCCGTCGCCCAAATAAACGTGAGTGCTCCCTTGATTTAATTGCCCGCTTGTGTTGCTTTGTGCTCACAAGCCCCTCTTCCACTCAAGGCTAGCGTTTTTGCCGCCAAAATGCTAGAACGCGCCGCACGTTTCGGGGTCCAAACTCCCAGACCGTGACACTAGGGAAGGGGAGGGGCAGACTGGTGGTTGAGGAAGGGGTGGTTGGTGCTTTTTAGATAATAATAATTAAAAAGTGAGATTATTAATAGAGAACCAACTAAAGATGACATCATTAAAAGCAATTTTGCCAACAAAAATAAATGAAAGGGAAACAATTAAAACAAATAAAAATAAAAATTGATACGGTAAACCAAAAAATAAATATCAAAATTGACGAGTTCAAAAGCACAATCTTTTTTACAATAATTATATGTACCGGAAAGAATCTGAAGTCATTCTCATTGAAACTTTTCAAGGTCCATCTTTCTTATCATGGTGATACAATAGTCAAAATTTACACGAATTCGTTGTACGCTTCTGTATGCACTCATCATGTATTTATCAATCTGGTCATCGTACCTCTCATATAATGCAGGAATCGTGAGAAGAATAGCAAGGGCTGCATAATCAATGGAAAAGGTAATTACGGATAGGAAATGCAAACAGTGTACCCTACTGTCCAAAAACAAGAGAAACCACCTCCTTCGAAAATTTAGGACCTCCAAGATAGAAAATAGTGCCATGAATATAATGGTAACTTACACATATAGCACAGTGTGACAATATCAGTCAAGGCTCCAAAAACAGAAATCATCAGCAGGCAGGCAGCAACTCTGAGAAATAGCCTTGAATCTTTGCCAAGAGCAACATTCCGACAAACTAAGACCAAAGAATTAATATTGTCGCGAGCAAGCTCTCCCATTTCAGATACAACTTCCTCTCTCAAATGCATATCAGGCAAAGGAGGTGCAGGTCTGTTGGATGTCAACTAATGCATAGGGTTAGAAATATGTTAATGTGTTAAACAAGCTTATATCATCATGAAATTTAACCCCCAAAATTAGAATGAAAGAATAAAAAGGGAAGTTGTTACTAGTTCTAGCTAGTCTCTATATGTTGACTGAGGACATTCCTGCTGTACAAAAGATTTTGCACTTATTTTGATATTATGATCATGAAATTTGAATTTTATTTATTTATTTATTTCCCCTCTGAAATGGTGTACTGAACAAACACCGAAGCATTCATGACTTTTGGAGCAATATTTCTGGACAAGTGCTTATTTCTGAAACAAGGAAATCTAATACCTACTTTTATAGTTATATTCTATTAGTCGAGTACTGTTATCTTTGGGTCAACCCACTCCATAACATATACTTGTAGAAAACTGTTGTACAGTTGGTTCACTTTGGCATGCACTTACTAAATCAAGTAGAATTTAGTTCTAAGGGCTATTCTTAGGAGGCGTTCGGTTGGTGTATTTTTTGAATTGGAAACGGATTCGATTAAACCAATACTGTTACCATGTGTTTGGTTTGATGAAGGCATGTTAACAATTACCATTACCTAAGGGTAATGATTACCCCTTATTTGTTACCTCTCAAAAACTTGGGGTAACAAATACCCTTTTCCTCCTCTTAACAAATACCCTTTCTATGGTTAAACCAAACAAATGAAAAGGTAATAACTAAATGATTCCTTTCCCCCCTCTTATTTGTTTCCTTTCCACTCCGTTTCCACTTTTCAAACCAAACGCCCCCTTCAAGTGATCACAGTGGGGTGGTAACAAGCTACATGTTATGCCTACCCCAAGTTTAAGCTAAGTTCAGTCTCAACAAGATTAATGAATGAGTTTGAGTGGAACCAATCTTGATAAATGAGTATCTCAACATCCACAAAGTGATCTTGGGTTGCTTTGTAGCAACAATGAATTAAATTACCAGACTAAATTCTCTAATTCTCATTTATTTTGTTTGTTAGGAATCAGGAGAAGAGACAATAAAAATTATTAACAAAGTGCAAAATTCCACTTAAAACACTGAAATGATTAAAACAACATTCAATATACTTTGGGATTGTGAAAAATATAAATTATCGTATACTTGATTATTAATTTATTTTGGAATCTTAATGAAAAATGAAAATAACTATGCATAAAAAACAGAGAATTACAAGTTAAAGATAAATAACAACCAATCATATTTACTTACGAAACATATTTATACAATGAGCTAATATAATTAGTTAGTCAAATCACTTAACACAATCAACTAACATGATCAACTATGTTTTCACTAAACACGACCTATCTAAATTAATGATTATTTGAACAAAACACAATTTCTCACTGTTGGAAAATAAATTTCATTTTATTTTTTAATTTAAAATTTAAAGATAAATTTATTTTTATAAACTTTGGATGCTCCTTTATCTTAACCCTTGATTATTTTTTGTTGCTTTGCTTAAGTTGTTTTTTTCTCCTATAATCAAGGAACAACTTAACAGTAACTTATGATAGAGAGTTGTGGAAGAATTTTAAGGATCAAGCTCTTCAAGATTTTAGCAAAATCCTTAACCTCTTTAAACGTATATAACTTATATATATATATATATATATATATATATATATATATATATATATATATATATATATATATATATATATATATATGTTGCAAATAGTTTTCGGTGAAAAAGTAAGAGAAAAAAAAAGTACACAAAATTCCTCTAAAATTAATATCAAGCAATAATATATAATTATTACGGAGCATTGGTGTAATTTGGTTCGGCGGTCTTTTGCTGCACACAATCGATCCAACGGGTTGTCGTATCTTGAGAGAGGAGCGCATTAATTTATTCAACCATTGCAGTGGGCTGTTTTCTCTATAACGCCTAGCGTGCTACGACCCAGGCTATTCCAAACTCATTCTTCATTCTACTATTATTTTATCTTTACGCTACTTGTTTTTTTATTAGAAGTTTTGTAATATTTGAAATATAATATATACTAATATACTACTATAGCCCCATATTTGTGTTTTTTTTTTTGTGAACATTGTTCTCTAACACTAACTACCGCCCCCAATCAATCTATGACATCCACATGATACATAATTGAAGAGCAGGTTCAGCTTATTTAGCATGGTAAATTCAAGTGGTAGCAGAAAATTTTGAATAATTATCTTAATAATCGAAAATTATGGGGTTGTTTGGCAATTGGCTTTTTGCCTAGCTTTTGCCTTTTAAGTTTGGTCAAACAGCCAAAAAATATGTTTGATAGTTGGCTTTTTTGTTGGCTTTTAAGCTAGCTTTTCCGCCAAAAGCCAAAAGCTAATAAGAGTAGCTTTTTTTATTGGCTTTTGGCTTGTTGGCCCACTTTATCACTAATAAACAGCTAACAATCATTAATAATTTTACCAAACACTTTTGAAAACAGCTAGCTTAACACAATAACTTAAAAAGCCAACCCATACAGCTAATACTTCCAGCTAGTCAAACAAGCCAAGCAAATAAGCCAATAGCCAACCGCCGATTGCCAAACAACCCCTATATCTTGATAGTCAAACACCATACTCTTTCATTGACTTTAACAACCATTTGAATCTGTCAACTTACCCAACCACGATAGCTCACAAAATTCTTTACCAGAAAAACTATACTCTCTTTTCCGTTCTTGTTTTTTTCTTTCTTTCATCCATTTCCCCTCTTTTCTTAGTGAAATCATCGGGTATGTCTCGTTATCTAGACTCTCGTACCTTTGTTTATCCTCATCTAGTAGGTGAAAGTCTTCCTTTCCCTCCTCCCTTGAGGGATGAATACCCTATTGATTGGAATTGCACCGTAATCGGTAGGGTCTGGGATTCTCGTGTATTTTCTATCAGTCTTATTCAGAGATTGGTGTCAAGGTTCTGGCATCTCCGAGCCCCTGTTCGAGTCTTCCCTTATGCTGTGGAACAGAACAAGAACGCGGAGGAACTTGATTCTCGAGCTTGGGTACATTTTAAAGGAAGTTTGGTTGTTCTCCAACGTACAAGGGAAGGGTCTGTTCCGCTGAACATGAATCTTCATCTTGCAGAACTTTGGGTGGTAGTTGAAGGGCTTCCTATTCGCTACTCTACTCCGAATATTGCGGCGGCTGTTCTTGCTCGTGTCGGGGATATTACTATGATTGATGGTGATACGGGTCAGTTTCCTATTCCTCGTCCTAGAGTTAGAATTTTAGTTGATTTGTCGTTACCTTTAATTGCGGGCTGTTACTTTCTTACGAATGATATTCAAGTCACGTGGATACGTTTTAAATATGAAGGTATTTTTAGATTCTGTAAAAAGTGTGGTTTTGTCGGACATGGTGACCGCACGTGTGTTAAATCTTATGCTACAATAAATTATCACTTGGAGAATCGTTTTCGTAGCATACATAATAATGGTGGACGAGTTCTTTTTGGTCCGACGGATACAAATCTTTATTCTAATGCTCTCCGTGGTATTATTCCTACTCCCGCTTTATGGACGACGGAATTATGGTTTGGTTTTCATGATGAAGAAGATCCATCCGAATTTCTGGCTGATTCTCATCCCTCAGATTATGACATCATTGGCAGCAAGCTTCCAATTCCCTCATCGGAATCTCGTTCTGGTTCTTCAGTGTCGTCTCATCATCGTCGTTCTTTATCAGCTATTCCTGGGTTGTTTCCTCCTCAGTGGAAGGTGTTTTCCGATGTAGTACAGATGAGGTGCTTCGCTGTGATTTAGAGACTAATAGAGCAATTAGAGAGCAATTGGAAGTCCCTAATCATGAGGCAAGGATGGCACCACGTGTTACACATGCAAGTAGGGAGGGGGATGAGTGGAGATATACGGGCAGCTGGGATTTGGAGCATACACGTGGTGGACAGCCCACACGTGATCAGCATGGGAGTGTGAGGCAAGTTCGGCGGCAATCTTTGTCTTCATTAGCTCATAGATTAACTCAGAATGCTTCTGGTGGACCGATTGCAAATAATGTGGCCCATTCCTCAACCAACTGGGCCTTAGATGCGTCCATTGTTTCCTCTCAGATTCACAGTCCTAGTCACGTGCCATTTAATGAATATGGTACTCATTTCAATTCTGGGTTGGGCCGTTCTGGTTTGCGAAGGCCCAATTGTGGTGTTCCTGATTATCATTTTAGTTCAAGTGATATGTCTACTCCCTCTTTCTTGGACTGTGCAGTTTCTTCAAGCCCAAACTCCATTCTAGGGTTTTCTCCTCCTCCTTTGGGTCCGAATGGCCCAAACTTTGCTGACCCATTTAGAGCAGGTCCAAGTAACTGGGCTATTTCAGCAGGTGGATCTTCTCCAGTTCAGTCCTTATCTGGCTCTTGTCCGACTGATTTCTCGGAAAAATCGATTTTACCGGCTGAATCATCTTCAACAGAATTTACTTTTGAGTCCCCTGTTCTTTCGGGGTCTCCATTGGAGAATATTTCTCTACACGACTCTATTTCTCATGATGTTGGGGATGACAAGGTGGTGCCCATGGATTGCTCTCCGCCGCAATCTCCTTCTCCTGAGCATATTTTGGTGGTTGCCGCTCCGACAACATGGCAGGGTTCATCGGCTTCTCCCACACCTGCGTCTCCGATAACAGGGCAGGGATCTCCAGCTTTATTAACGGCTTTTCACAAGTCTCCCTCCTCGTCTTCTCAAGCTAGGAAAGCTGGAATTAGGGGGGGGGGAAATATGGAAGTGGGTCGCTAATAGGTGTCCGGCAAAAAGAGCGGCACGAGATATATCACCTTCGACGCCTCCTGTTTCTATGTTGCATTATAACAAGGCTAAAGATCACGGTTGCTTTCCGTGCTTACTCCCTTACAAGAAACGTAAGGGTGGTCCATCTACTTCTGATGACAGTTCTTCTGAGGGCTCGGTGGTCTCCCAAACTAGACCATCTTCACCGGGATGAAGATAGCAGCTTGGAATTGTAGGGGTTTGGGTCAGGCGGACTCCCCTAAAATTCCGTATATTTTGTCTCTAGTCCGCTCATGTAGTTTGGATGTAGTCTTTCTTATGGAAACTATGATCTCTGTAGATAGTGTTGTTCGGAAGCTAGCATCTGTTCCTTTTTTGGGTAGTTGTGGGATAGATGCGGTAGGCCTTAGTGGTGGGTTGTTTGTTTTTTGGTTTGCTCCCTTTCAATTGGTACCGTTGTATATTTCTCAGCATATTATCCTTTGTAAATTGGTGATGGGTAATGAAATAAAGCATATCATGTTTGTGTATGGTGCTCCTCATATTATAGATAGAGTAGAGGTGTGGAATACTATTACTAGTATTCTTTCTACTATTTCAAATGTTGTTCTGTTGGGTGATTTTAATCAAGTAGAATATCTGTCTGATAAAGTGGGAGGGAGCAATAGTATTCCGGGGAGATTAGATTTTTTACAATGGCATTTGGATAATGAGCTAGTGGTTGTTCCTTTTTTGGGTCCTCAATTTACTTGGACTAATAATAGAATTGATTCGGATCCGATTTTTGAACGCCTGGACAGAGCCTATGCTTCTCTTTCTTGGATTCAGAATTACCCTGAAACAAAAGTTGTTCATCATCCCATTTTATTCTCGGATCATGCAGCAATTGTTCTCTCAGACGATTCTGATGCTAATAGAGTGTCTCGCCCGTATAGGATTGAAAATTGGTGTCTTCCGGCAGCTGAGGTTCACTCTATTATTTCTTTGGCTCTGTTGAAATTTTATGCAGGTTCTCCGATGTATTCCCTTTCTCGTAAACTGGAAGTTATAAAAGCTCTTTTGTTTACTCGGTGTATTTCCCATAAAAGGATTTGGGGCATAAATTGGAGAGCTCTTGCTATCGAGCTAAGTAATAGTGGGTCACATCTGATGTATAGGTCAGATCGTCGTTTGTTTCTCAATATGAGGAATGAGAAATTAGCTGCAGCTCAGCTTGCCTATTCTTATTGGTGTCAGAGAGCTAAGGTTCGCTGGGATGCCTCGGGGGATCGTCATTCTAAGCTTCTGTTCTCGACGGTCCAAGCTAGACGTCGTCGAAATAATACTTATTGTCTAAGAGATGCTTCTGGTGAGTGGATTTCGGATCCACACGGGATTCGTAGCAATATTTCTTCCTTTTACACGAATCTTTACACTCCTGTTTCGACGTCTTCTCTTCCAGAGTCTTCTTGGTGGGACCAATTACAGCTTCCTACTTTGTCTCAGGCTCATAAGGACCTTTTGTTTCGTCCTTTTTCCGACTCGGAAATCCAGAAGGCAATGTTTCAAATTGAGGATAATAAATCTCTTGGGCCAGATGGTTACTCTTCTGCTTTTTTTAAGCATTATTGGGATAAGGTGGGCTCTTTAGTTATTGAGGCAGTCCGATACTTTTTCGCTCATGGTTATTTGTTAAAGGAATGGAATCGGACTTTCCTGGTTTTAATTCCAAAGGTTGATCGTCCGAGTCGGTTTCTCAGTTTCGTCCTATACGACTGTGTAATGTCCTGTATAAATGCATTACAAAGTGCCTCACTAGTCGTCTTCGCCTTGTTCTTCCACTTCTGGTTTCCCCATTTCAGAATGCCTTTGTGCCTGGAAGGCTCCTGTCTGATAATGGGCTGATTGCTCACGAGGTTCTTTCTTATATGAACCACTTGAAGGCTCGGAAAAGTTTCTATGCAGCTTTAAAACTGGATATGAACAAGGCTTATGATTGTATACGGTGGGATTTTCTGATTAAGGTTCTGCAGGTTTTTAGCTTTCCGCCTTACTGGATTCACTTGATACATCAGTGTGTCTCTACTGTTTCGTATCAGATTTTGATCAATGGAGATCCCTCACCCTCTTTTCGACCTTAATGCGGTCTGCGCCAGGGTGATCCTCTTTCTTCTTATCTATTTGTTTTATGTATGGAGATTTTGTCCGCGATGCTTCGCAGAGCTGGGGATTTATCTCTTATACAAGGTATTAGGATTTCCCGGGGTGCTCCTCCGATCTCTCATCTATTCTTTGCGGATGACTCCCTTTTGTTCTTTCGTGTTTCTCCGACTTCCTGACTAGGTTATGTTGTTATTAAAGGATTTTTGTGATATGTCGGGAGAAATGGTGAATCTTCTGAAGTCCTTTGCTAAGTTTAGTCCGAATACTCCAATGGATTATCGTGAATCCTTGGCAAATAGTATGCGTCTTCATTGTATAGACTCTTTGGGTTCCTATTTAGGTCTCCCAATAGACATGGGACGCAGTAAGGTTGAGGCCTTCGGTCATCTTTTGGATTCTGTGGCAAAAAGGCTAGCGGATTTCTCTTCGCTGCGATTATCTGCAGCCTCTAAGCTGGTTATTATCAACTCGGTTCTGGTAGCTTCTTTCAACCATGTTCTGTCGGTCTTCAAGATTTCGGCTTCTATTTGTGATAGAATTGATAGTATGCTTTCTGGTGGCAATCTTCGTCTTTATCTTGAGGTTTGGCTTTTCGTTCAGCTGCCCTCCTGCATCTTCCTAAGGGTATGGGTGGGTTAGGACTTCGAAGCATCTCGTGTTTTAACTCTGCTTTGTTGGCAAAACAATGTTGGCGTATCCAACATCATCCTCAGCTTTTAGTTTCAAGAGTTCTTTCTTCCAAGTATCCCTTCCTTACTTCTTTTACGGCAGGTGGTACTCCAAGATCTTCTTGGGGATGTCGCGGTCTTATGCATGGAATGTCTGCTTTGTCTCATGGAAAGTGGGTTCCGGATCTAAGGTTCTGATTTTGGAGGATGATTGGGTTTCGGGTGGCCCTGTCGTTTTCAAGGCTTCACTAGGTGAGTCGTCAGTTCCGACTCATGTTTCTTCTATTATAAATCCGCGTACTAACGCGTGGGATACTTCCATAATACATCGCCTATTTGACCCATTGTCTGCGCAAAGGATTCTTTCTCTGGAAAGACCTAGTATTATGGATGATTTTGTCTACTGGAAATTTACGAGGGATGGGAATTTTTCCACCAAGGCTGCTTACCCCTTGCTGGTTCGTCAATCCATAGTTTCGGTGGCTAGCGTCCCGGTCTCAAATTTATGGTGGAAACAGTTTTGGGGGCTCTCTGTGCTCCCAAAGATCAAGATTTTCATCTGGAAGTTGCTGCATGATGCATTACCCCTTACTACCCTTCTCCGACAGCATGGGCTGCCGGTTTCTCCAGTTTGTGTTTTTTGCCATCAGAACTGTGAATCCACTTCTCACTTGTTCAGGGACTGTGATCTTGTTTCTACCCTGCTTGTTCATAGTCCCGTGGACTTCTCTCATACCTCGTTACGGGATAAATCTTTTGGTTCTTGGTTCACAGATACGATTACGGATTTCAGAGTAGCCAAGGATTGGCCTGGTCTTTCTTTTTTTGTTTCTTTTATGTGGGCAGTTTGGATCTCTCGCAATCACAAGGTGTTTCGTCAAGCAGTGGTTTCTCCTACTCTGATCTTGCACCTGACGGTAGAATGGGTTTCTCGAGGGGAGGAGGCTTTGACCATTTCTGAGATTCGTCATTCGGTTTGTTCCCCTTGCTTGGAGCATTCTCCTTTGAGGACAGGATGGCTTCAAAGTTCCGATTCTAATACACTTGACTGTTGCCTTTTAATCGACGGCGCCTGGAATAGTTCTGATAATACAGCTGGAATTGGTTGGATCTTTCGGGATTTTCATTCAGATTTAGTTTTGGGTGGGGGGTTAAGGGCTACCAGAGCTGGATCAGCTTTACAGGCCGAGTTTCAAGCCTGCTTGTGGGCGTTACGAATGGCTAGGCGTAGGGGGTTTGTTACGTTGCATGTCTATACGGATGATATGTCTTGCGTTTGGCTTCTGGATGCTATTAAGGATATAGTCAGGGACTATCGCCTGTAAGATTCGAAAGGTTCCTAGGTCTTGGGTTTCGCCGGCTCATTGGCTTGCGGGTCAATCTCGTCGCCGTCTCTCTATTTCGTGGTCTTTTTTATTTGTTTTTTTTTGGTTTTGTTTATTTGTTAGTTCTCTTTGTCAAAAAAAAAAAAAAAAAAAAAAAAAAAAAAAAAAAAAAAAAAAAAAAAACTATACTCTCTCCGTTCCTTAATTAGATTCCTACTTAAATTAATATCAAGCAATACTGGTGTAATTTTGTTCGGGGGTCTTTTGCTGCACACAATCGGTCCAACGGGTTGTCGTATCTTGGTAGAGGAGCGCATTATTTATTCAACCAGTGGGTCGTTTTCTCTCAAAGGATAGCGCCTAACCCAGGCTATTTCAAGCTCATTCTTGATTCTACTATTTTGGTTCATAGGATTTATTGCTCACATAGCAGAGAGAAGTCAATAAATCTTGAATCAACCAAACATTTCAATTAACAAAATAAAAAAAAATAAAAAATCAGGCAAAATTAGATGCAGCTTGATTGGTTACCTGTTCAAAAGTGATGCAGCTTTGGACCATACAAATAAGATGGTGATCAACAGCAGCAAAATACTAGAAATAAGAGATAACAGAGTGTACCCAGATTCCTCAAATACCAACCAAATTATTAATGTTAGTATTAATATTCCCATTGTAATGTTTCTTTGCCTCCATAACACCACATCAGCTACTGCTTAGCAAAAAAAAAAAAAAAAAAAAAAAAAAAACCAAAAAAAACCAAAAAAAAACACAAAAATTTAAATATGAAATGCAAAATAAGTTGAAATATCAAGAAAAAATAATGAATTTGAGTGTTACCAAACGCGCCTCCGAAGATTTCATGGATGGTTCGCTGCCTATTAAACAATCGACCTGAAGATGATCCCATGATGAAATTTAAAGAAATTAAATTTGCGGATTTCAGACTTGAATCAATTTGTAAATAGTGACAGTATAAATTATTTCATTGATTGAAGTTTTTTTTGTGTGATCGAATATAACTAACAGGGAAGAAAGTATTTGATGTAAATTTGGTAGGTGGGCAAGAATGCTAAAAAGAAAATTGAAATTTACAGCCTAAAAGTGAGCTTGAAAAATGGAAGAAAGAGGAGAAGATCGGGAAATTAGCAGAATAGCAGTTGAGTTAGGGTACATTGTACATACACTTTAGTTAGGCCCAGTGTTGGACTTTATCGGGGTATAATTGAGAGATTAGCTGGAAATAGCGTCATCCTTAATGCCGGTGATTTTTGTCCCCACCTGTCCCTCTTTGGATGACCAAGCGCCAAGCGGATCAACAGCACGCCTGTTGCCGCTACATTAGAGTGTGGTAATGTTAGACTTATTTTCTTACGTTGAAATTCAGTTCAGTTCAGTTCAGTTCGGCTAAGTTTAGTTTAATTTAGTTCAGTTTAATTCAATTCAGCTCTGTTCAGTTTAGTTTAACTCCTAATTTCCTTCTCTTATAAAATATTCAGTTCAGTTCAGCTCAGTTCAGTTCAGCTCAGCTCAGTTCAATTCAGTTCAGCTCAGCTCAGTTCAGATCAGTTCAGTTCAGTTCAGTTCAATTTAGTTCAGCTGAGTTCAGTCAATGAGAACAGACCCTTAGTACCCTCCGTTTTTTAATACTTGCTCCATTTCTCTTGGACACGCATGCCGATATTAATCTTTGATCACTTATATATTTAATTACCACTAAGTATAAATTCTAACAATTGTAAATTAATAATCTATTCATTGAGATGATTCCAACAAGTACCCACAATACTATTCTTTTTCTTATGTATAAATCTCAAACATTTGTCAAACTAGGAAAAATGAATAGTGCAAAAAATAGAGATGGAGCAAGTATTTAAAAACGGAGGGAGTACTTATTAAATCCCGACGTGTTTTAATAAGTATTACACTTTTTTTTGGTAAAAAACTAAACTCCGTCCGTTTCAATGAGAAAGTCCCATATGGAATCAATCAAATAAAATAAGAAAGTAAGAATATTTGGAATCTAACATTAAAGTCAAAAACAATTCATAAATAGTTTTGCCTTATTTAAATTGTTTGGATTTTTTTAGGAAACCATCAAACATAATTGCATAATTCAAGGGAATAATTTCTTTACTTAAAGTCATGTCATCAATTCATAATCGATTAACTAAACCAATCTAAATTTAGGGCATGTTCACATTTACTGAACTGAACTAAACTGAACTGAACTGATTGGAGATGAACTAAACTGAACTGATTGGAGCTGAACTGAACTGAGCTGAACTGAATATTTTATAAGAAAGGAAAATTAGGAGCTGAACAGAACTGAACTGATTGGAGCTGAACTGAATTGATTGGAGCTAAACTGAACTAAACTGAAATTAAGTAAATATGAACATGCCCTTAATATGTATAAAATAAGAAATAAAAACTAAGTTAAAAATGGAATACATTCAATATGGGTAGATATTTTTGAAAGACCCAAAATATTATATGGATTTAACAAATTGAGACAAAGGGAGTATTAAAATATTACATCTCTCTCCTCTCATAGTCACCACCCAAGTTCATTACCACTTTTTTTTCCTCTCACATTCATTACTTTTTTAATAAAATATTAACCCCACTATCTTTCTTTTACAATTTTAATCTTCCAACTACCCCACTTACTCCTTATTTAATTTAAGGCATTAAATTGCCTAAAATCATGTGTTGATCAAACTGTAAGACCCTGTTCTCTTCACCTTTAAAAAATAATATTAAGTAAAAATAATTTCATTTCAGTAAAAATAAGTTCAATTCAGTAAAATTAATTTCAGTTCAGTAAAAATAATTTTAGTTTTGTAAAAATAGGTTCAGTGTAGTAAAATTCAGTTTTCTTAAAGAAGATTTATAATAGAAAATCAATAAAAATAATTTTTGTTCAGCAAAAGTAATTTCGGTTCAGTAATATTAATTTAAACTCAGTAAAAATAATTTAACTTCATCAAATATAATTTTGTTTCAGTAAAAATAATTTTAGTTCAGCAAAAATAAGGTGAAGAGAACGTGACCTAACACTAAAAAAACACGGAAGGAATACTTGAAATTTACTTGCTCCATATTTATTTATTTTATAACTAATGAATTAAATGGCACTCTCTCTGTTTTGTAATTATTACAATAGTAGATTTTGTACAAAGTTTTTAGAAATATATAGGGCAAATATTATAATATAAATTATAATTATTCTAGTTATAATTAGTTTTTAGTATGAGAAAATAATTACAAAACTAATAATGTGAATTAGTAGTACTATTAAGTTGGGTTGGTACTTGGTACTTTGGTAGGAGAGAAATAATAAAACATTTAGGTAAATGAAGTTAGTGGGGAAAAAAATAATGAAATAGTAGTAGAATTTTATCAAATTAGAAAGTATAACAATTATTATAAAACAAATTGTAAGTTAAATGTTTTACCTTAGTTACAAAATAGAAGGAGTTGAATACTACCACAATTTCTTATTTTTTATAATGAAAAATGGAGGTAGTAATAGTATTGTTTCCGCACACAAAAGTGTGATAGTCACGGTGATAGGTTGTCATACACTATAATGAATATTTCAAGCCATCCCACACTTGAGCCTCACTGTGATCATACACTTAAGCATGGTGACGTGCAAAGGGAAGGAAGCTAGAGTAAAAGAGTTGCCAACAAGTTTTAGGAACTTGTAAACTGTTCACAGGCTGAAGGTTACACCCCTTAACGATCCAGGAGATCGTTAACTCTAATAGGTCTGGAACCATGACTGGAAGTTCGGGGATGAAGGTACAAATCCAACCTAAAAGAGATTGAACTTGCCCTAAAAATAGGCCTCTACTTTATTCTTCTCGTATTCATGTGCGTTTTCTAACTAACATGCAATCAATAGATTAACCCTAAAGTTGTTTATCTATGTTAGTTGAATATTAATGCAGAAACAAAACTATTATTGGCGATCACTTAAATTATAGTCATATTAGCCTAAATAAGACTATTAATATCTTATTAAGCGTAATTACAAGTACAAATTCCCTTTAAACATGCATAAAAGGCGTGATCAAGCAATTACAATAAATAATATAAATCAAGCAACATAATAACAATCATAATCATAATAATTACAATAATTATAATAACAATCATAATTAAAATAATCATTTTAAAGCATAATATTATTAGCAAGATCCTAGGCATGATACTAACAAGATTAATAACAAACCCTAGCATGTCACTAAACAATAAAAATCAAAGTTTTAGCCCTAACATGATACTAACTTGATAGAAGGAAAGAATAGGAAGCATCATAGAAACGTACATGATATTAGAAATATTATTTAACCCTAAACATGGTACTAAGAAGTAATAAATGCATCCTAATATGATACTAAGAATCAATAAAATAATCTAAGCATGATTTCTATATCAAAAGATCAATAAAACTATTAAAGTACTTAATTCGATGCCTCGTACCTCTTTCTAATAACAAAATACACACGTTAATAAGTTCAAGGAAAAGTATAAACAAAACAATTAAATTAAGGAATAATAATAGAGATTTGGGACCAAACCCTGAGATATATCGAACCTTTCACGTCTAGGGAGAAGGCAACTTCAAACTTGGCTAGGTGTTTTTAGGACTAATGAGTGAGGAAATTTGAAAGAAGGAAGGTTTAGAAAAAGAAAAGAGAGAGAGAAAGATTTTTTTTTTTTTTTTTTGACAACAACAAAAGTAGACAAAACTAAACATTAAAGCTATGTAAATTGACCCTACAACTATTCGCAATGTCATGAGCCTTAGCAACCTGTTCTCTTTCAACTTTCCAAATGATTCAAGTTGTAAACTGTCGTCCCACATGTAGCAGCTCTTGCGTCGTCCACATGAGCCGCATTTCGCGTCGTTTAGGATATTGGATTAAATGGATTGGGGCCAACGAGTCGGTGAACAAAAGAATTTTCTAGTATCCTTTCACTTCTGCCCACTTTAGCGCAGCTACACATGCCATAACTTCCGCATGTAGAGAAGAGTGGGCTTTTCCATAGGTTCCACCCCCTTCCATATAGGATATTTGGTCTTCTGAATATGCCCATCCTGTACCCGCCATCCTATTCCGCTTTAGCCAGGAGCCATCAGCCATTATAGTTACCTCCAATCTAGCATTTGTTGGGTGATTAATATCTTCCCTTTTGCAACCAATGTTCACCCTTTCAAAACTTGGCGGTGCGCCACTATCGGCACTTACCTTGCCATTGACCCCAACCCCCTCACCCACTCTTTGCCAAACAGATAATTGTTGCATCGCCGTATTGTAGTTTCTAAACAAATCCGTGAGACATCCTCCCTGATTACTGAAGATCCTCCCATTTCTAGTCAACAAGATACTCCAAAGGACCCCTATAAAGGTCCCTACTCGTTCACTTCTTTTTCCATCCTCGCTATGAAAAAGCAGGATATAATTCTGAATCCAGTGTCCAAAAGGAGTAGATTCATCAATTTCAGACGAGATATTCAAAGAACAGTTTGCCCAAGCATACCTCCCAAAAGAGCACATCCTAAAAAGATGTTGTTGGTCTTCCTCTGCCATACCACAAGAATCACAATAAACATCTATATCTATCCCTCTTTTGACTAGGTTGGACTTGACAACCAACCCATTCATGACTAGCTTCCAGAGAAACAAGCTCCACTTTGGTGGAATATTGAGCTTCCATAATATCCTGAAAAAATTAGTGTCAGAGAAAACATCCTGTTGCAGAAAGTTGTTCATTAGAAAGGCATAACCCGTCTTAACAGTGTAGATTCCAGGCGGATGCCCCCCCCCCCAATAAAGCACATCCTGCTCCTCGTTCGCAGGCAACTCCATTTCTAAAATTTCCTGGGCAGTACTCCATTCTAACCTTTCCCTAATGATATCAGCGTTCCAAGATCTTGTTTCTGGGGAAATCAAGTCTTTCACTTTCCCCGAACCAAACCCCCGTAGTAGATGGCTCGATTTAAAAACAGGAGTTGAGCCTTGCACCCATCTCATATTTTCAACTTTCACCCATTCACCATTGCCTATCTTCCAATGATACCCTCCGACCATTTATTTGCCACATTAAAAAGACCCTGTCTACCCCAAGAAGCATTACCACGAAGATACGATCTAGAACCTCCTACACATAGAGAGGACACTCATAAATAGGATCAAGAGAGCGAGCCACCAACAGCTGGGGGTGACAATGCATTCGGTCACCTGTTTAAACAAAAGAGCATCATTCAAACAGACCATAGACCTTATGCCTAGGCCTCCCATTCCTTTCGGTCATTGAATAATCTCCCTTTTTACTCAATGCATGCCCTTTTCTCCCCTCAAACCCCACCAAAACCTAGCAATCAAAGAGTCAATTCTATTTGTAATCGAGATTGGCAACTTGAAACATTTCATCACATGAGAAGAAATCCTAATGAGAACACTGTTAATCAAGATTAATTTTACCGATTGTGACAAGTTGAGAGATGCCCAAGAGAGTATTCTAGCAGCAACCTTGTCCACCAAGTACTTGAAAGTGTCCATTTTCCTTGTCGTAAAGTCAATTGGAGCACCCAAATGTCTATCCAGTACCTGTACTTGACCAATGTTCAACACTGCCTTAAGACCCTCCACTTCTTCCATTCGAGCTAGCTTGCTAAATTTGACAAAGGATTTACTCAAGTTGAGCTGTTGCCCCGAGATGTCCCCGAAGCTCTCGAGGATATCCACCACATTTTTGCAAGACTCCAAAGTTGCATTGAAAGAAAACCATTGCATCATCAGCAAAAAACAAATGTGAAATAGAAGGCGATCGACGAGTAACCCAAAGCCCTTTAATCAAGTTAATATCTTCCGCCACTTAAAACATTCGCGATAAAATATCCATGCAGAATAAGAAAAGATACGGTGAGAGTGGATCCCCTTGCCGCAAACCACAATCTGGCTTGAACATCTCCGAGACCTGACCATTAATAAGGATCTTGTATGAGATAGTTGAGATACATTCTGAAACCCATTGTATCCAAACCCCCGGGAAACCATATGCCATAAGAACCCTCAAGAGGAAAGTCTAGTTCACACGATCATAAGCTTTAGACATATCCAACTTTATCACAGCTTTGGTAGAATCTCCATTACTAGTATTAACCAGATGCAATAACTCATGGCTCATCATCACATTATCCTCTATATATCTACCTAGCACAAAAGCATGCTGATATTATGAAATTAGACCAGGAAAAAACGTTTTCATTCTATTAACCATACATTTAGCTATGCATTTGTAGATAATATTGCATAAACTAATCGGTCGAAACTGTGTTGGCAGTTCCGGGCAATCATAACAAGAAGGGAGGCATTAAATTCCTTTAAAAGATGCCCTGTAGAGAAAAAGGACTGCATCGACTCCACAACCGAGCTGCCCACCACCTCCCAGTGCCGGTGAAATTTTTTTGCTATATAGCCATCCTGTCCTGGCGCCTTTAGATTATGAATAGAGAACATCGCTTTCCATATCTATAGGTGCGAGAACGGTCGTATTAATAAAGATGCATCCTCCGGTGCAATAGAAGGTAGATCCAAATCCCTTAGCACTAAATCAACCTTATCAATCATAATGTCAACAAAAACCATCGGTGGATTATATACCTCCCACAAAGTATCCCGAATGAGTTGTTCTAAATTCTTCTGACCATGAACCTAAACTTCATCCTCCTTCCTTAAGGTAACAATCTCCCTCCGTTGTTTGCGTTGCTTCACTCTACCATACATCATTTTGGAAGACATATCACCTTCCTTGATCCACCTATCCTTCATTCTTTGTTTCTAACATTTAAACTCCAAACCACTCTTACTGTTAGTCTCATTAATCGCAGTAATATAGCTATGACCTTGCTCTAGAGTAGTTATTCCACCCCATTGGTCATGAAGTTCAGTAGAGTACCTCTTCCAGTTTATACCCCTGTAGGGAATAATTTCAAGCCTTTAAATCCCACTAGCTCGAACCCCACTGTGATCATACACTAAAGTACGGTGGCGTCCAAAAGGGAAGAAGATAGAGCAAAAGAGTCGCCAACAAGTTTTTTAGGAACTTGTAAACCATTCACGAGGTGAAGGTTACACCCCTTAACGATCCAAGAGATCGTCAAATCCATAAGGTCTTGAACCAAATAAGGGTTCGGGGATGAAGGTACAAATCCAACCTAAAATAGATTGAACCTGCCCTAATAATAGGCCTCTACTTTATTCTGATCGTATTCATGTGCGCTTTCTAATTAACATGCAATCAATAGGATCAACCCTAAATCTGTTTATCTATGTTGGTTGAATTTAATGCACAAATAAATCTATTATTGGCGATCACTTGAATTATAATCACATTAACCCTAAACAAGATAATTAATTATCTTATTAAGCGTGATTACAAGTACAAATTCCCTTTAAACATGCATAAAGGATGTGATCAAGCAATAAATAAAATAATCATCAAGCAACATAATAATCATAATCATGAATAATAATTATAATAATCATAATCATAATATCATCAAAATAATAATAATAATAATAATAATAATAACAATAATAATAATAATAATAATAATAATAATAACAATTATAATCATAATCATGTTCATGTTAATATTAAAGCATAATAAAAAAAAAGCAAGATCCTAGGCATGACACTAACAAGATTAATAACAAACCCTAGCATGTCACTAAGCAATAAAAATCAAATCTTTAATCCTAACATGATACTAACAATCATAAATATTAGGAAGAATATAGGAAGCATCGCAGGAATCATATTTAATATTAAAATTACCCTAGACATGATACTAGGAATATCATAATAACAGTATAAACATGGTTTCTACATCATAAAATCAATAAATCAATTAAAGTACTTACTTTGATGCCTCGTACCTCTTTCTAATAACAAAATACACACATTAGTAACTTCAAGGAAAATAATAAACAACAATTAAATTAAATAATTGAAATAGAGATTTGGGACCAAACCCTTAGAAATTAAACCTTTCACGTCTAGGGCGAAGGCAACTTCGAATATGGCTAGGTGTTTCTAGGTCTTGCGAATGTGGAATTTTGTATGTGAAAACAAAGTTTGAATTAAGGAAAGAGAGAGAGAGAGAGAGAGAGAGAGAGAGAGAGAATAATCAAGAAAATCTTGATGAGAGTTCGTGAGAATTGGTGAATGATAGATGTAGATGATGATAATTGGTGAATCAAAACGGAGTTTTTAAATACGTTATTTATAGAAAAAATCCACCAAAAAGATAAATTAACAAAACAGAGTCTGACGCTCAGGAAACAGGGTTGGCGCCAACCCTGGCTAGCTGGCTCCAGGCACCACCACTAGCGCCAGGCGCCAATGGCTAGCGCTAGGCGCCAGGCCTGGTTCCAGGCGCCAAGGCCTGGGGTTAGGCGCCAAGCCTGATACCAACGCGTTTTCGAAAATCCGATAAGTTTACCGTACTGGAGGATAAAATAATATAATTTCCTCAAAAATGCTATTTGATTTTGATTAAAACTCTAAAAAGTCAACAAAAGTCAATTTATCAATGCTAATTGAATTAGGAATGAAAAGAACCTTCTAGAAGAATCTAGAAGACTAAAACCATTCCTAATTGCATAAGGAATGATAAATCATATTAGGCCCTCCCCTAGATCATTGGGTCGTACATAAAGCTCAAACCGGGCCCAGTTTGGTAAATTGGCCATAACTTCCTCAATATTCATCGAAATTGGGCTTATAATATATAGTTGGAAAGGTCTGTGCAAGCCCCATCCAACTACACTACTATTGGACCCATATCATGGACCAACCAAACTGGATTGGCTGTTTTCTCAAAATAAGTTTTCCAAAACAGGGAGAAGAGAAAAGAAATAAAAACTATCCGCAACACTAGACCTTTCCACACTTTCGTTTCATTCGATTATGATTCGACGTGAAATGTACTCATCACTGGGTTTGGTTTTTGGGAGACACAAATGGGTGTGTACAGAAGCCCCCACTTTGACTGAGCTTGGAGAAACGCTGGTTTCGAAAACAAAAGTCAAAGTATTGATAGGGACGGAGAATGATTCAGAACGTTCTGCGATCCTAAATCAGTCTTGCAACACCGATACCTGCAAAACTAGCATTAGTTAAACAGATAAAAGAGTTAAGAAACGCGTATCTTGTACCGTCGAGCACACATCTCTGAAAGTAACCGATTGTTGCTGTATCCTTGTTTTGATGACTTCCTGCAAGCTAGAGAATGCTATCCCGCTTGAAAACCGCTACGCCTGTAACTGCTTCCAAATTAGAAGATTTCTTCGCCTGAAACTATCCTCCTCCGTATTGATAATATTCCACGTCGAAGGGAATACCATCGAAGATTATTTCTCTTGAAACAATCTTCATCCGCGTTGGTAATATTCCACATCCTAGGGAATACTATCGAAGATTATTTCTCTCGTAACAATCCTCAGTTGTTTGTGACAACTCTCCACAATCTAGGGAACGCCACCACCTTGATGTTTCGATGTTCTGAACAAAGAGCTTCTTTTTGATATGACTCAATTTCCGCTGTGATAGTCTTCGAAAAGATTACTGCTTCTTAATGTTTTCTATGCCAGTACGTCGGCGCTTCCGTTGCTTTGAATCTGTATGTCGGTGCTTTTGCTGTGATGACAATCCTCTTTTCTTTGGGAATAGTTGCAATCATAACTCTTGTATGATGTATGACAATCCGATTTAGGGAAAGTTGTCAATGCTTCGTAACAATCCATCCTTGGAAATTTTGCCACGATGAAGCGACAATTCGTATCTCGGAAAATTTGCCAAA